AAACTGGCCCGTAAAGTGAGGCGAGTATGACGTTGGTGACCGTAAATATAGTCTTCACTGGCTTTGTTTTATTAACTCTTACTCACATGTAGAACTATCAATTTTAATTTCCATTCATATCTTGTATTCGAAAAAACCAGGTGTGTGTCTTGGGTTTCCCGATAGATGTGAAACATCAAAGAATACGTGATTGATATCGATAAAATTTAATTGCCTATGATAAAAAAGTATTTATTTTTCTTATTCTAAATAATTTGAATTTAATGTTGAAAAGACAGTTTATTTACGAATATGCGTTTTCATCCGTAAATATTATAGGTGAGAAAAAGCGAATAAAAAATTATGTTAAAATTTTTTTTATTCATGAACACATATACAAAATGAAAGAGAAAGAACAATTAGTACACTGCAAAGAGTATCTAAACTACCTACCGACTCACAGGTACACACATATGTTTCACAGTACGTTCATGTGTATTACTTTCTCTATCTCTCTCCTCTCTATCTCTTTTCGGATACCAGTACGTAATTGTGCACGTGCGCGAGCTTCGTTGGCTCTTTACTGAAAATGGGTTAACATGCAGGAATTGAATGAACAGAATTGGAAGATCCCGGAAAAACTTTAAATGATGGTAAAATTTTTATATTTTAAAATAATTATGTTTACCAAAAAGCAATTTTTAAGAAATAATAAAAAAATAAAACTAATTTTAAAATTAATTCATCGTTTTCTACAAGTGATCAATATTATCAAAAGCAATGAAAAGGGCCTATAGTTAGACCTGTATGAGTACAATAGAAATGCTGATGATAGACATAGAGAGAGAGAGAGAGAGAGAGAGAGAGCGAGAGATCCCGCGACAGAAGATAATAAATGGCTCTTTCTATTTCACTCTAAGGCTGCAGTCATATGGAGCTCAATAGAGCGTGCAGGATAGAATTGTCCTCATCAGCTGCTGTGTTAAGTCTATTGCGCTGCAGGATAGCCCTATTGCGCAATAGACTTAACACAGTCGCTAATGGGGACAATTCTATCCTGCACGCTCTATTGCGCTCCATGTGACTGCAGCCTTACAGGTACTGCCAAACTGCATTTTTCATTTTTTTTCTCAACATTTTGCGCTTGTCAAAACAAAAAAAAAAGTGCTCTAATCACTGCTATTTTTTTTTGCATTTCAAACCGTCATCAGATATGAGCAAAACGAACTTTCAAACACGATTCTAACTTAATTCGACCACTTCAAAATAATTATAACTATTTTATTCGCCATTAGTGGGCTGAATTACATATTATATGAAAAAACGCCGAATTATCGATCAATTTTCTAATTCAGAACTTTCTCGGTTAGTATCCATAAGTAATAAGAACATAAATCAGGTCTGCGTGATGTGTATTATAACGGATAAGGTCCCTGACTACCAATCCAAAATTAGAGGGTTCGATTCTCGGAGTCAAAAAAACTTGAAAATTTTTTTCAACACAAATATATTTATGTAATACATGCTCACTCGTATTCTTGGATATAAATATACGTATACGCTTTATGCATAAAAATATATATATATATATACACACGTTCTACCTAATGTATATATTAAAAGAGAGATTAGATTAGATTATTATTAAATAGCTAAGGACTCTGGATCCATAATAGCCAGAGAGAGAGAGAGAGAGAGAGAGAGAGAGAAAAAGAGAAAGAGTGAAAAAAAGAGAGAGATAGAACTGCTCAGTAGTAGGGTGAACAGCAACGGAGGAGCAAACCAGACTTTTCGTTGCATATTTCCCCTCATGCGGCTGTTCACTGCCCTTCATAAGATGTTTTACATCAAAAACTGTGAAGCTTATGTTCACGGTAGTTACCGTTATCATTATACTTGACAACTCAAAGTGGTTAAAAAAGTTTATTATGTATGATGAATAGTACATTAAGTCCTCTAAAATTCTGTAAGTCTGCAATGTCCTCTCCAGTGCTCTCGACTGCGGCAGAAAAACGATGACGTGACTGTCACAGTACCGCCGTCACAACTGACGCTCTGTGGCCAGAGTCAATGCACGCCAAGCGGCAAATTCAAATTTACTAGAACTAACAAACCAAATCCTAAGCTATTTAACCCAATAACTCCGTACCCAAAACATCTTAAACTAAATAACCCTATACTCCCAACAAATAAAACCCAACAATATTTCAAATATACGCTTATCTTATAAATAAATCATTAAATCGTCTATCCCCAGATCACCAAGTACGCTTACTAGCCACATTGTTTATTAATAAACTAAGCGCCTATCCCCAAATGACCCCGGGCGCTTACTGGCCGGTTTATTGATTAATCAAATAAAAACTAACAACACAAGTGCATATCCCCAGATAACCCGGGGCGCTTACGTGCCACGACGTTTATTTTATTAAATTAAGCACCTATCATCAGATGAGTCGGGGTGCCTACTGACCAGTTTATTAACTATTCAAATAAAAACTAACAGCACAAGAGCCTATCCCTAAGTGACCCGGGATGCGTACTGGCCAGTTTATTAACTGATTGAATAAAAATTATAACACAACCGGCTATAACCAGATGACTAGGGGCGATCACTGGCCAGTTTAATAACTATACTTATAAAAACTTACAACACAAGCGTTTATCCCCCAATGACCCAGGGCGTTTCTGACCACAATGTTTATTAAAAAATTGAGTGCCTATCCCCAAATCACCTGGAGCACACTGGCTGAAATGGTTATTAATAAATCAAGCACCTATCAGCAGATGACTTGGGGCGCTTACTGGCCATTTTATTAATTAACCAATTAAAAAACTAAGAACACAAGCGCCCATCCCCAGATGACCTAGTGCTCTTACTGGCCACAGTGTTTATTAATAAATTAAAAGCTTATACCCAGATGACTCAGGGCGCTTAATGGCTAGTTTATTAATTGATCAAAAAAATCAACAAACCAAGCGCCCATCTCAAAATAACCAGGGGCGCTTTACGGTTACAATGTTTATTAATAAATTAAGTGCCTATCACCAGAAGACTTGGGGCACTTACTGGCTAGTTTATCAGTTGATAGAGTAGTAATTAACAACGCAATTGCCTGTTCAGAAACGACAATATAAATTTTCAGCCCTTGTGTTAGTAACACGTGGCTTGAAAATTAACAACAAGCTATAAAACATTTTAAATATCCTAGTGAGCATAAGTTTTTTTTTTTTTATCAACCAAAAAATACTGTCAAGTGCTTAAAGCACATCGCAGTATGCCTTTGTAATATTTCATAATAAATTTCATTGAATTATTTGGTGAGTTAGTGCATCTGATAACATCGATATACAGCACGAGTTACTTTTTTTTTTTTTTCTTGTTCATGTCAAAATTCAGTAACGTTTGGTACCTTACATTGCCACACAATAAATGCCGTAATGTTAAAGATTGTTTCATTACAATATTAATAAGCGCTTAGGCTTTTAATTTTTATTTAATAAAGTAAGTTAGCTTGTAAGCACCCCGAGTTATCTGGTGATAGGAGCTTAATTTAATAATAAACATTGTGGCCGGTAAGCGCCTCGGGTCATCTCGGAATAGGCGCATGTGTTGTCAAATTTTTTTGATTAAATCAATAAACTGGCCAGTAACCGCCTCTATTCATCTAGTGGTAAACACCTAATTTATTAGTGATCATTGCGGCCGGTAAGTGCCCCGGATCATTTGGGGATAAATGCTTTTGTTTTAATTTTTTATTTAATCAGTTAATAAACTGGCCAGTAAGCGCCTCAGGTCATCTGAGGATAGACGCTTGTGGTGTTAGTTTTTATTTGATTAATTAATAAACTGGCCAGTAAGCGCTCCGAGTCATTTGGTGATAGGTACTTGATTTATTAATAATCATTGCGGCCAGTAAGTACCCCGAGTCATCGGGTGATAGGTGCTTGATTTATTAATCATCATTGCGGCCAGTAAGTGCCCTGAATTATTTAGAGATAAGTGTTTGTGTTGTTAGTTTTTACAAGAAAAATTATTAAACAGGCCAGTAAGCGCCCCTAGTCATCTGGTGATAAGCGCTTATGCTATCATTTTTTATTTAATCAATTAATAAACTGGCCCGTACGTGCCCTGCGACGTTTGGGGATAGGCGTTTGTATTATAGTTTTTTACTTCATCAATTAATAAACTGTCCATTAAACACCCCGAGTCATCCGGTGATAAGTGCTTAATTTATTAATAAACATTTTGGCCGGTAAACCCTCTAGTTCATTTGGGATAGGCGATTGTGTTGTTAGTTTTTATTTAATGAATTAATAAACTGGTCAGTAAGCGCCGTGGTTCATCTGAGGATAAGCGCTTGTTTTACAATTATCTATTTCATCAACTAATGAACTGGCTAGTAAGCGCCCCGGGTCATTTGGGGATATCCGCTTAATTTATTAACAAACATTGTGGCCGGTAAGCGCCCCGTGTCACCGTTTAAGGTCTCAATTTCGTACTTATTCAGATGCATTAGTGTCAGTGTATTTCAGTATTTCTTTGTCCCTGCAAACAAACACTGCTATGTTTTATTAGAGATGCCCCTACCTTAAGTCTGAAATACCCCTAAATATTTATTTCTATTAACTATTGTTAACACGGTTTTTACACGTTTTATTTTTGGAGCACGAAATTGCACCTTTTGAGCCGTGGTTTTTCTTTTCATAAACTATTTAATTTAATGCTTAAGTTAGAAACTTTGTATATTACCTTAAGTTGCTCTAGATCTTTTTTTGACACAGTATATAGATAATGACATTATTTTACCAATGAATATGCAAATTAAAGGCAAACTGCGAAATTTTTTATTTGTAACACTTCTTTACTCAAGCTTACAAAATCTCATTATATTATGGTATTGTTATTAAATTTTACTTTTACATTAGTCCAACATTCTTTTAGTTTGTAATCAGGAAACAACGAATTCGATTTTTACCTACAAGCTGATATTATTACAACTTCTTGTTTGAACTTTCAGATGATGATAATGGTGAAACTGATGACGAAAGAGAAAATATCTACTACATATCTAATGAAATTTATTTTACAAGTCCTAAAATGGCATCAACGGTATTTACAAAGAGAGGAGTGGTAATTGAAGCTGATAAATCTGTTCACTCACAACTTCGTCTGGTATATTTTTCCGATGGATCTCCTTATGAAACATTGCACGCAATTAGTAAAACAATGGCTCCTTACTTCAAAAGTTACGTCAAAGAAAAAGGTAAGACTGACAGGGATGGAGATAAAATGGCTCCATCAGTGGAAAAAAAAATTGCTGAGCTAGAAATGGGTTTACTTCATTTGCAACAAAATATTGACATTCCTGAAATTTCCTTACCTGTACATCCGCTTGTACAACAGATTATAAAACACTGTAATGAAGAAGGAAGAAAACCTAAGGTTGCTGATTTTGGAACTAAAGTAGAAGATTCAACATTTTTAAATCAACTTCAAAATGGAGTTAACAGATGGATTAAGGAGATTCAAAAGGTAAATAAACCGTTCTTAGCGAAACTGTTCCACATTAGTATATACTTTTAAGTATAAATAAAAATGAAGGGAGTATTATTTATAAGATCCCGTTGTTAAAAACTTAATATATTGCTAATCATCATTAGTGAGTCTAAATAAAAAATTGGTGACTCGTAAATTTTTGTAAAACCTTATCATATCATTTTGCTATATTATATCGATATATTTTTATTAATCGTCACTTATCGGCAATGAAAATAATTTTATTTTTTTATTTTTTGACTCAATAAACGACTTGACTTTTTATTTTCTATACGCCAATTGCATGCGTTAAATTAGAGGCAATTCGAAAGACCTTGTTTTTTTGCGTGGGTTACATTACAAAGTCATAACTATTAATGCGTTTCCCTGCTTGGATAACATTTATTTTATTTTTTACTTATTTATTTTACACTCCGTCCCTTTTGGGTTTGAAGGGCTTCCGCCGTACTTTTTAACTGAATATAATTTTATTTATGTTTAAATTGGATTTACAACAAAATTTACAATATCTTTTTCTGTAACTGTTCAGAACAATTCTTATGTATACTACATTAAAAACATCATTTTATTTTGTGCAACTTAACACTACTTAAAAAATAAGGTAAACTTTTTAAAAACTTTTTTTAGTTGTTTCAACTTCTCCCATACCTAGATTTTATAACCATATAGGCACTCTGCTTCTACTATAGTTTGTACGAATCTTATCCGCTGTCCTACTTTTCTGTAAACTTGATATTTCTTTAAAATTAAATCGACATTTATAGTATTTTTTTCAGTTAACTATTTTTAATTTCTCTTTTTTATATATTTAATGTTCTTTATCCCTTGTCTTTCTCTTTTTAAGTAATGTTTTTTTTTTTAACTTTATTTTTAGCCTGTTTCTATCAGTTTATACCATCTTATATCTTACCAAAAAGCGTTCTCAAATCTATCCAGCAATAACGGTATATATTAATTAAAATCAGTATATTTTGCTGTTTTTAACACTTTTTATTCTTTTATTAACTTAGCCATTTAACTTAAAATTTGTTTATGTATATATTGAATAATATCAAACTAACTATTTGGTCATCTTTGTATAACTTGAATACTCTTAAACCATGCACTTAATACATTAACATATAAAATGCGCCATACATGCATTAATAAATAAATTTATTAGTGATAGATTAAAATAACTTTTGCTTTGTTTCACAATACATTTTATTTTAAATAAATAGCTACCAGCTGTTTCGGCTGTAACGACATATATATCATAAACCATGCTGATTCGCAGTTTTGGAGAAACAACACTTTGAAACCTTTGAAACCATACATGCGCAAACCTTTTAAATATCTATGCAGTAAGTAAGTAATCATAAAAAAGGAGATGAACAGTTTTTGATGTCATATATTCATGTAAATTAGTATTTTATGGATTCCCTTTTAAGAAGGATAGGAGACAATGAGGACTTGTAGGTACGATGCTCGATTAGCAGTGGTCCTCACATGTATTACGGGATACCTCTGTTGGAGTGCGTAGGGACTTCAGATTTACAATGCCCCTGACTCGCGTTACACAACGTCCCAGGATTAATGATATTTCTAGGTGTTATCTACTCTCTTATGCTACCTTCATTTAGCCAGAGTAATATATAATATCAAAGGAGTAATATAAAAAGTAGTCATCAAATATATAGATTTAATTTGATTCGCGTAGGGCATGCGAAAGTCTCGAAACAAATGGCTTTCTCTTCTCCTTTGATTACTTAGTTTGTTCAATCTTCCTCACAAACAACGTCAATCAAGCTGATCATACATAATATTTTTATGTACTTACAAGTGCTTGTAATCGGCACATTTTTACGTATAAATAATACTTAATGTATTACAGACGGGGTTGGGTTGCGTGGTCGTAAGGGTAACACGTGTGCGGAAGCAGCTCCGCATAAAAGAGTTTCTTCAGCGGTTCAAAGTGGAAGAAAAGTGAAAAGGAAGTGATAAAAAGATAGTGCGGGAGGTGATTTATTAAGACAGGTGTTATCCAAAGTAAATACGCGGGCAAGCCAGGAAAAGAAAGGAAATAAGTTCGGCAGAGCCAGTGACTCAGATAGCAAGAAAAAATGGTAGGCAAGCCGGTAGAGAGAGGAGCTGGGGAGGAAGGAAAGGCGATAACGCCAGTGGAGATAGAGAAGAGAGGTAGGGGTCGGTCGAGAAAAGAATCAGCGGAAAAGAAAGAACTTAAGGAGAGGAGCATCATAGAAAACTTTTTGAAGTGCGGAAGTACTAGATTTGAGATCGTGGCGAGTGGAAGGAATAAGGTACTGCACTCACCTGTGAAGAAAGATGGGGACGACGGCGTCCAGGTGAAAGGGAGCCAGCAGCTGGGGAACGAGAAAAAAGAAGGCGAGGCAGTCAAAAAGTCAACGACGGGAAGTCTGGATCAGGGATGTAAAGAGGATAGGGTGAAAGAAAAGGCATCGGAAGTCAAAGAAAGTTAAGAAAAACAAAAGAAAACGCTGTTGACGGGAGAAGCGGAGAGCTTGATTTCCGACAGAAGGGAACAGACGGTACAGAGAATTGGTGAGGAAAAAGGAGGTCATTCGTTGGTAAAGCTGAAAATGGCAGGAGCTGATACAAAGGTAGAGCAGCAGAGGGCAGTAGAGGAGACGGCATCTTGTTTGCAGCAGAAGGCGCAGGAGAAAATACAGCATCAAAGGGACACGTCGGAAAAGCAGCGGAGCGTTGATGATAAGCGGAGGTATAACAGCGTAGAGGGTGCAGTAGATAAGTTAATAGTGCGGGTTGCGAATTTGGAAGAAAGGTTAGCTTTGGTAATCGGGGAGAAAAACAGTGTGATCGCAGAGGGGCCAACAAGGTGTGTAGCTTCGTTTTATTTGAGTAAAAACAACATATGTTGTTTGTCACCTCTTGGAATTTTCCACAAGTTGGCGTGTTTTTAGCGTCTTAGTTTTTACGGAATATTTTATTTAGAGTAATAAAGGAGCGCTGCATGAGGGTGTGTTTTTTTTATATCGGTTTCTTCTCGAAGATGATAAGAAGCGTTGAATGCCTCTCCCTTTCGATGCTGTTTGTGCGGATGGATTGGAGTAGTAAAGAGCGAGGACAGTGCAGAGGAGTGGGTGTGTCTGGTAATTTAAAATTTTTGAGGATTCGGCTGCGGACGTTACACACGACATAGTGTTTTGCATAAATTATCCCACTTATTAATCTTTTCATTTGTTATCAGTAAACGCAATTGTAATAATTTAAATCAGTATTCCGGGTACGTAGAGTCGCTGAAGGATAATATAAATTGTACTCACCGATTTGTGAGCAAAAATTGTCTTGTTAATAATGATTACGACAGTCAAACGAGTACTGATGTGTCGGCTTTAGTAATAATACATTTTTGACTTACACCAAAACATTAAACTTGTCGAGAATTAAAGGGATTTATTTATTTAGATCGTACAGTAAGATTATTTTACACGTATATGTGTACCTGCAGCCTAATATAAGTTGTAACCTAATTTATTAATATTACTAATTATTTTGATAAACAACAAAATGCCAAGTATAGAGTGCTTTTTTTGTTTTAGTTTACATGTCTGTCGATTGTTTCTTATCTCAGCCTGATTATTTGGCTTTTCATTGTTCTTAAAAATTATTGTATGCAAGGAGGGAGAAAAAAGATTTTCAGTCATAACATTTTTTACTTATCATTGTAAAAAATTAAGTTAAATAACGTTTTTTAACTTTTTTAAACCTATCATGCTGTAGAATAAATATTTTACTACAACGTTGAATATTTTATTTGTTTTGAACATGACACACACCATTTTAAAGGAATGTATATCGCTTTGATTGTTAATGTAGTGCACGTTAGTTATTGTAAAAGTCGTCTTATATATTGACCAAATTATGATTCACGAGCATCTTTTTTACAAGTGTAATTCAACAGTATTTCAACATTCTTAAAAAAAAAAAAAAAATCTGCATCGCAGATGAAAGTAATGATATGTTAAGATATTTATAGCTTTTAGATGTGATCAAAACGGCCAGAATGTTCTTGAGACTAAATGTATGTAGTTAAACTTGAATTGTAGTTGATTAAAACAATTTTTTTGTCCATTGATGCATTCGTTTAACAATTACAGTCATTTAGAAATGGTACTGAAATTCTTCCTGTTCAGTTTCACCCATAAACAAGGCACATAATTTATGTGCCACATATTTCAAGCGCTCACCCACGTTATTAGAAATTGATTTTTTCGCTCCCATTTTTTACAATCTACTTGCTTATAATAGCAACAATTATAATTTGCAATTTTGGGGTATTCAAATTAACGGAACGTTTTTGGCATTACTGTTTGTAATGTCTTAGTGCTCATTGACCATTTTGTCGAAATGTAAAGCTAATTGCCCTTCTAACATAAATATTTCTATACCTATTTTGTACATTAGGCAAGTTCATAACATAAATAATGCTGATACGTCTAGCAACGTTGGACTTACAAAAAAATTTTGGTGGCAGGATAACTTATTTTTTTTCATCGAATAAGGTATTTTGTTTAGAACACAAAATAAAATTCGATATTTTTTAATTTTTCCACGATAAAATCTAAAATGATATTAGATTATGTAATAAACTTGACCATGTAACGACTTTATTCAAATAGATATTAAGTAACAAAAAATTAATTTGCTGTTATTTCGAATCGAATATGATATTTCTTTAAGCTTTAAACTTAAAACTGTAACAACATTTAAATCCCTGATTCTATCTTTTGCAATCAACTTTTTTGTGATAAAAACATTAATGATTTAAGCTTTTTTTGTCTTGAGTATTAAAAAAGTTTTGGCATCTCTGATACGATATAAAAATTACTGATAGTTCGTTTTGTGAAAAGATCAGCAAGCGTCTTGGAACATAAAAAAAAATAACGCTATTGAAATTTTTATTTTCGAATTTCGAATGACGAATGACTTCATAA